GGTCATGTCTGAAGACAATGGCCACATGACTGCGCCAGAAACCGCCAGTTTCAGCCATCAGACAGGTGAAGCTGAGCTCCGTGACGCAGTCCACGGCGCGGTTGCTCAAGTGGCATGGGTCTGGTTGCCAATGTTTTGGTACTGGATCTTCACCAAAATGATGCCAGAAAAGATTGAAATCCTTAGGATTGAGACTTTGAGGACACGCAGCTCCATGCTTTCTGCTGTCCGGCAAAGGGCTACTCAACTGAAGAGTTTTGAGGCCTGGATTGGATTCGGATGCCCCACCAAAGCAAGCCATTGCCACTGTTGGGGTTGAAGGCACAACCCTCGTGGGGGTGTATCTTGCTGGGAAGCCATGCAAAGTTCATTGACCAAAAGGTTGTTTCCTTCTTTTTTTGAGCCCAAACGTTGGGGCCTTGCTGAACCCTGGGGAGCGATGGGCGGGATCCTGCGACGGAAGACTCGACTCCTTCCCAGTGCTTCAGGCAAGCCATCATAGTCGGAAACCCCTATTTGTTTTCCGAGAAGGGAGAATGCCTGCCAACATACTATGTGAGCTACGGGGGGTTAGCCAACAGTTTATTTTTTGGCCTATAGCTTACGCTCAGGCTAGAATCGACCCGTCATGAAGAATCCCAGCGCGTTATCAATCGGAGGGTTCTTTTGGGATCGAGGAGTCTCTGCCAAAAAGGGTTTCTGAATCAGGGATTGGCATTTGAGGAGATGAACAAAAAGGTAGCACTTGACGTCCAGGGCAAACACACATTTCTTTGAGACTTTTCTTGGTGATTCCCAGCCATCCCCTTAGCTTTTTAGCCTTTCAGTGTTTTAGTGGGGATTTCCATTTAACCCACTAAAAGTTCAACTTTTAGCAGGGGATCTGAGCACAGCCCAGTTTTGTGGGCATGGTTATGAACGCCCACATTCGGAAGAGACGAAGATACCAGTTCATCACTGTGCCACATGGGAGCAGTGCCAAAAAAGCCCATTTTGGTTTTGGTTCAGGCAGGTCTACTGCCTGGTCTGATGGTGGTTATACTGTGGATGGACGAAATCCATTTCGCACCACTTCGAAACCATTGTTTGTTGGTATTTACGGGGGAATCATCATTCCAGGGAGTCTTAGGTGGTGGTTATAGTAAGGTTTCTATAAACCTTTATAATCATGTTGGTAGAACCCAAAGTCAATAGGTTTGGGCACTCAGGTGAGAAGCCTGAATTGCGGGCGATTGGTTTCAGGGGGTCCCTATGTTTCTCCTGGCCCTATTTGGGTGTGGGGTTCCAACTTTTGAGGGGTTCCAACTCTCAAATTCTTTCAGCCATTCTAGGGTTTTCACCTATGCTCCTGATAGGGTCGCCAAGGAATGCTGGGCCTGGTCAAGCCGACTCGCCTCATTTTTTTTCAGGTGAACTTGGTGAAGAACATCGTGGGCGCCGGCATGCTGTCGCTGCCCTCCGGCGCCGGAGCCCCGGAGTTTAGTTTTGGCTGCGGTCCAGGCGTCTGGACTGGAGAGCTCTTTGGGACCAAGGCAGTTCCGGAAGTTTTCCATCTTTTTCATTTTTTCTAAAACTTGAGAACTGGTTGATGAGCACAAGAAAAGTAGATGCTCAGGAAGTGAGTCTTTGGTTCTCCGACGAGGGTGTTGGTTGCATGGCTGGTACCTCCCTGTCCGTCAATTGAAGGGAGCCGTTCTGCAGCTCATAGCGCTCCGCGCTCCGCAGCTCGCGCTAGCCTCCCCACGGAAATGGAGCAAAGACATTTGGGCGGACTTGGGTTGTGGCAAGGGACACTTGATTGTTGGGTACTAGAGTAGCATGGATGTACGATTTTCTTTGTTATTTTCTGATTAAGACGAAGATATATAAGGGGGGGTTCCAGACAGCCGCTCCTTGTCGCCTCTTCCGAGCCGGGCACCAAAGAGGCGAGCGGCTAGCAGACTGCCCTAAACCAAATGAGACACCAACCAGGGCCTTCCCTTGTTGAGAGGAACCAACTTTTTTGCCCCCCTTTTCTGGGGGAGGTGGTTTTTGTTCTTGGTTGGGACTTACTTTGGGGCCCCCTTCAGGAAGGCGGTAATGTTCGTCGTCCTTGCCAGCTTTTCGGGTTCCCAAGCCCAAAATCTTTGCGGGCGGTCGCAACAATGGGAACCAAACTTCAGAAACGCAGGGCTGTTCACGGCTTCCGCCCAGGGTTCGGGATCGACCAAAGGCCAATGGGTGCAGATTTCTTCCGTCCAGCGAGGGACTTGCGCCTTGAGCAGGTGGCCGCCTTTAGCTCCAGCCCCAAGGCAGCCGCGCGAGAGTCGGAGGTTTTTCGGTCGGCCTCTGGGCCGTGGTGCGATTTTTTCACGGCGTACAGGTAGGAAGCCTTTTGGGTGCTATTTGTTTCCTGCTCCAAAGACTTTGTGTTTATAGTTGGGAGAACCTTGCGTTTGAAAAGGGTACATACCCTCCTTTTCTGGTGAAGGTCGACCTCCGAGCCGAAAGCGCGGGGGTTCCTGTTCGGTGCAGGGGGAGGTGCCAGGTGTTGGGTTCCAAGGAAATTTTGGTTGACCACGTGATAATTGGTTCGAATTACTGGAGGCAAAAGAAGCTATTGGCAACTTTTTCCCGAAGCCATTTGTCTATCGAGTGGCTTTCAAGCAACAAGGGGATAACCGAAGCCATCTGTTTTTTGCCCCTATTTTAAGACACACCCACTTAAGCCCGCAGGTTGTTGATCCCCCCAACAGCTTTCGGACCCGGAAGTCATAGTCCAGAAATGGAACACGGCCGCACATCATCACGCTTGGGAACTGATACTTAAAAGGTTGCTACGGCTCTGCCTGCCAAACAGCTCCAACGAATCATATGATTCAACCCCTTCTTGATTCCACAGGTCAATAAAGTTCAATACACCAACATGGTCTCCAACATTGGATTTGGCGTTTCCTAAGATTGCAATGTGGATTCATCCGGCTCGTTTCCTTCCTGCCTGGACTTTGGGGGGTCCTCTTGCTGTGTCTCCCAAGAGAGAAGCCGACTTCTCCGGAACCAGAAGGCCCCCTGTGACTCATACCCACAATTTTGTGGTGACACCATTTTGTTGGTAGTCGGCTTTAAAGGGAGAAACCCAAAGGGACACCAAAGCCATTTTGCTGGTTCCAACCACGGACAGACCACGTGCGTTTTCTTTCCGTTTTTGTGGGTCAGGCGGTCCCCCCGGCTCTGGGCCTCGCACTGCTGGCGGCCTTCTTTAGCCACTTTGGTCGCTCGGGGTCGGGGTGCCGCGCTTTTTTTTTGCCCGAGTTGGGACCCTTCTCGCCTTGGTTTTTCAGGAAGACTAATGGGAGCAGGATCGTTTTGGGGTCCAAATCCTTGTTTTGACACTTCTGTGGATCCTGATCTGTTCTTGGTTGATCCAACCTGTGCCAAGATCCTTTACTTGAGGCCCGGAAGTTTGGGGCGGGCGTGGGTGATTCGACTTTTTTGGCCCTCGCTGGAATTTCCAGGCCAGTAGGCCGCATGCTCGAACGGATTCTAGGCCTCTTGTATGGCCTTGGGCATCCATGGAGGTTTCTCTCTCAAACGAGTCAGGAGAAATGGCAGATTTGGGACCCAACCTTTAGATCGCCCCGCGCTTTTCCGAATTGAAAAGAAGGGGGCCAACATGAAGCCCTCCGTCAAAGGGTTGATCTCGTCACGGTTAGCCCTGTTCTCAAAATTTCAGGGAGCCCTTCCCCATTTTTCCCTTGGTTTGGTTTTGGTAGCTTTCTTCTATCAGGTAGCCCCAAAAGTGGTTGTTTGGATTGGTGATTTGGTCATTTGAACCCCTGGCTTTTGTGGAGGGTAAATGGGAAACCACTCCCCAACCACCAAACCACCGATTCGGCTCCACCAATTCGAGGGAAGATCCTTCCCCAAACTCTCGGAAGGTCAGGGCGGGCAGTCAAGTGGGGAAGTTGGCCTTGAGACCAGGTTTCAAGGATACATTTGGGCCACTTAAAATCAACTTGCCACCCTCGTAAAGCAGGCGTTTTTGGGATGTCAAACCTCGGGTGGGTTTTCTTTGTGTTGTTCTTCAAGGTTTCCATACTTAGCATGATTCCATTCATGGAGGTTCTCGCGTACGATCAAAGGGGATGTTGTGCGAACGCCGAGGTGCGTATGGTTTCGTCGGGGCCTTTACCGACCGACCGACAATTGCCAGAGAACCCTTTTCTCTGGCGGGGTTGGTTTTTGGTGCTTTCACTTCTCGTGAGATTTGTTGACTTCTGATTTTGAGTGCAAGAGAGGTACTGGCGCTTGCGGGCCAGCCTCGGACTTTCTGTGAACACTTGCCACATGTGCCTTCCGCTTCTTTGATGATGCAGTCCTGCTTTAAAGTCCACGTATACCATGGGGATACTGGAAACCTACTTGTTTGCTTACTTGGGGTTACTGGGAACGGTCCTGGACCACTGCACCCTTTTGGGGGCCTACAAGGATTTCGAACTGTAGGATCATAGTCCGCATTTCGAGACGTCTGAAAACGGCAAATAGGTGTGCCACTTCTGTTGATGTTCTCCCTCTCTCTCTCTCTCTTCTCGCTCTCTTCTCTCTCTCTTCTCTCTCTCTTCTGTCTCTCTTCTCTCTCTCTTCTCTCTCTCTTCTCTCTCTCTTCTCTCTCTCTTCTCTCTCTCTCTTCTCTCTCTCTTCTCTCTCTCTTCTCTCTCTCTTCTCTCTCTCTCTTCTCTCTCTCTTCTCTCTCTCTCTTCTCTCTCTCTTCTCTCTCTCTTCTCTCCCTCCCTCCCCTCCCTCCCTCCCTCCCTCCCCTCCCCTCCCTCACTCCCTCCCTCCCTCCCTCCTTCCCTCCCTCCCTCTTGCCTCCCTCCCTCCCTGCTTGCCTGCCTCCCTGCCTGCCTGCCTACCTTCGTGCCTTCCTTCCTTCCTTCCTTCCCTCCCTCCCTCCCTCCTTCCTTCCTTCCTTCCTTCCTTCCTTCCTCCCTCCCTCCCTCCCTTCCTCCTGTCGCACGTCACTTCAGAGGGAACTCTTCGGCTGCATCCGCTGAGATCCTGATCGCCCAAGCGTGTGCTGCCACGGGCGAGACCACCTACACCAGGCATCGATCGCATCAATTTTAAGGGGTGCTGGCAGTGCCGGCAAAAAGGTTCAGCATGCGGAAGATGCGCGGCGCCACCTTGTTTTGCTATCTGCTGCCATGTGGTTCGCTTTTTTGACTTGAAAGTGCAAGACAGTGTTGTGTTTTGGGTCAAGGAGTTACAACTGGTTTGAAGAGCGGGACTCGGAGGCTGGAGGTGGTTTGGGGGGCTGGTTGCGGAGTGGGTCGAGCCCAATTTTTGATGGCGCCCGGGGCCTATCAAACTTTTTGGCTGCCAGGCTGGTCAGTCGGTCGGTCGGTCAGTCGGTCGGTCGGTGGTTGGTTGGTTGGTTGGTTGGTCGGTCGGTTGGTTGGTTGGTTTTGTTGGTTCTCTTTCACCAACTGTGCCGGGGCGGCCCAGGGGTTGGACTTTGACAATGATATTTGCGGTCACGCACCTGCTGAGTTGGCACATTTTGCTCGCAGATTCATTTATAGTTTTTGCCAAAACCCAAAAAGTTCTCACAACTCTGGCGAGTCAATTCAGCAGGCCGATCTTGACGCCTCTGCCTTCAAAGGAACACCAACCCCAGTTGAGCCACGTGCTCAAAACTTGGGTAGAGGAAGGTTAGTAAGGGACAATCCCAACCGTAAATAGCTGCGGCTGGGATTACGACCATTTTGATACCGGGTTTTGATTATGACTCAGTTGGACCAAGTTTCAATTGATACGCTTCTCTCGCTGCTAGCTGGCGGATGGAAGAGAGCCGTTGCGAAGCCGTACCCAAGTTTGCCTTTGGAGGCTTTCGGAAGGACGCGGCGGAAACCACTTCTCCGCCACTTGCGGGTGGTTTCCTGGTAAAATTCATCCCCGACATCTGGCTGTGGGTCAAAACCAAGGGTACCATTTTGGGGTAGGAGCACCACCCAGAAGTCTATTTTAGTTGGATTGGGATGTTCACTCAAAGTACGGGCTTTTGACCCATGGCCATCTCTCTCGACACCCAGAAAGTCTTTCTCGTCCGCAGGGTCTGGGCAAAATCGGTGTCCTCCAACACCAAGTTCCTGCCTGCGATCGCCTGCCTCGCCAAGGCGAAGGGGCAGAGATGGGAAGGGGGGGGGGCAGTCTGCGGGCTTGTGGTACTTGGGCCCTGGAAGGGATGAGGCTTCAGGTTCAGGGTTTGAGTTTGTGGAGATTCGCTTTCGTTTACGGGTTGTCTTTTTTTTGGTGGTGGTCTTAGGGTCGATTTGGTGTGCAAATTCGAATGTTGAAGTTGCAGGGTGGCGGGCTCAACAGTGGCACGGGGCGGGGGATGATTTCCCGCGACGGGAGGAACCTGCAAGATACGCTTTGGCTCGGACCAGTTCCCTTGAACACGGACCTGGAGGTTCCATGTTGGGTTTTGCGTGATTGCTGCATCATCGTCCATATGGGTGTTTTTGTTTGGAGGGTGCTCGATTCGGTGTTGGCTTTCAAGGTTCCGTTTAGTCACTTTGGGCCCCTTTGTTTTGACACATACCTGCATTCTCTTTGGGCCATGGCCAAGTCAAGCCGGGTCGCGAAAAAAGTCACCGGCGAGTTGTGCGCAGTTGCCCACGTTTGCCCAATTGCATGTGGGGTGAGTTTTTGGGAAGCAAGAAACCAGCGGAAGGACGCTGGGGGAATTTGGGCACCGGGAATGGTCCCAGGCGAAATAGGAGCCACCTCTTCCTAGGCGAAGCAAATCTAGGGGGAATCAGAGTGTCTAAGGGCAACTCCATGCAGCTTAAAACACTTCAACTGACCCAATTCTCAGACTTGAATGGGATACAATGGATGGAGAGATAAGTGGATAAAGATGTCGCCAAGGATGATAAGGTCGGGGTTTGGACTGACATGCGATTCTGGAGCGTCCTTGTTTTTCCCCCCCTTTTTGTTTTGTTTTTTGGTTTGTTTTTTTCTATGTTGTATTCATATGAGAAGAGAAGAAGAGAGTGCGAAGCATTTCAAAGAGAGCCAGCCAGCCGTTCCTTTGGTTTTTTGTTTTCTTGTCAGGACCGGGCCATGAATCTGAAAACCTATTCAATGGAAAAGAGCAAAACATAGTGACAGACGGACAGCATTCAGCTAAGATACAGATGACGGAACCAAATGCTGAGGAGTGGAGAAGATTTCATACTGGTGGTCTTCTTTATAGCACCTCGCGTTTCCTGAAATTCTTCTCAGGTCCCATTTCTTCACTTGACGCTGTCTGGTTTCATGGTGTACCTTCATCATCCCTTTCTATTTTTCTTACTCTCAAATCAACAAGAAGCCAAGTCCGAGAGAAAGGGAGACAGACACATCAGGATGGTGTCACTCACACACTGTCTCCATCCCTATGTCCCGTTTCCGTGGAATCTTTGTGTGGCTTCCAATGGAGAGGATGTCTTGGCAGCTCATGTCTAGAAGCCCAAGAAAGAAAGCGAGTTGACAGTTGGCAACTCGGATTGTCGTGGATGTCATTTCTTGGCAATAGATACACCGCCCGATGTTTTTGGAGCGTGCAAGTGAATTGGACATGGGTGGTGTATCTATTGCCGGCCTTCCTTTCAAGCCCACGGCTTCTTTTTTTCCCTTCTCCCACAGATGCTGCTGACGTTCAATTCTTTTCGTCCCCTTTTTTGAAAATGAGACTCCAAGCTCCGGCAGGGATTCAGACAATATTGTGGATTGTTGCGAGACCCGTTTCGCACACCTGAGAAACCCTGGAAGGATTCGATTCCCTAACGTAAATACCAACAAACGTTATGATGGTTTCCACCATGGCTTTCATTTCGTGGTGCGAAATGGATTTCGTCGATCCACAGTATGGGTGAGGAAACCCATTTTCGGATTGCTTTTGAAGGAACCAACGGAAACCACTTGTTTTGGGGACCTCAATGCTTTGTTCTTTTTGTTCTTAAACACATATTTTGTTTGCCATGATGTTAAACAATGCACAACCCTTCGTTGGAGGTAAGCACTGGGCTCGAAAGTCTACAACGCTTCCTCTACTGCCAAAGCACTGCCCCAAACGCGGTAGATTATTTCTACATCTATATGGCCGTGGGTCAACACCAATGGGATCCCATTTTGGGGGTTTTCGGTGCCCCACCCATTTTAGAACCTATTTTAGTGAGCATTGGATCGGATGTTCGCTGGGGAACGATTTGGGCTTTGACAACCATAGCCATATATTTTCTCAAGTCATTGGCCGACAGTCTTTTAACAGTCGGAGGCGGCCATTGGCTGCATCTCTTTCTCCATGATCCTGGGGGACTGCATCTCCTTGATGCGAAGAGCTCAGCACGCTCTCAGTGGTTTCGTCGATTTGAAAATGGCTGTGGGTCAAAAATAGGTACCCCAAATGGCACCCTAGTAAGTGGAAGCATGGACCAAAGCCTGAGGTCTGGTGGTTTAATTTTGCCCCATACCCAAATTGTTTGAACCAGCCTCTTCTTTTTTGAAGTTCCGATGTTTGAAGGGAAGGCAAGTTTAATATTGAACATTCAGTTCCCTGTTCCTTTTTGAAGGGACCTGGGCAAAGCTTGTTACCAGTCCCCGATTCCGTTTCAACAGGAGGTGGCTTCAATGCCGGTTCCAGTATATATTTTTTGCGGGTGGGCCCCCTCCATCCCAGAGGGAGACCTCAAAACGGTCAAAAGTGGATTTCCTGGTTCGATATTCCAGTCCGTGGTCCAAGGCCTGTGGCGCGAGCTCTTTTTTTGCATCCCCAACCAAAAAAGCAAGCGGAAACCACAACAACCTCAAAGTCAGGAAGCACTAAGTCACTCTCCGATCCAGACCACAGAATTAGATGGCTGAGACGAAAGGAACCAGGGGCCTCGGCCTCATTTTCCCATCTTGAAAGGCTCGGCTCTTCCACACCGAGGCTGTCGCCTCTTCATCTGCCGCTGGCTCAGCCGCGATCTTTCTTTTCCCGGCGCGGAGCCCACCATAACTCGGTCTCAAAGATTTTCGGCGCTTGCACAACCCGAAGTTGGTTTTCGGGAGGCCCACAAAGTGGAAGGGCCGCTTAGCGTGCGGAAGAACGCGGCTGCAACGAAATGCCCAGGTGAAATGGGTAAGCCCCTTTGGATACAACAGTGGAAATCCTGGAAGACTGGCTCAAGGGACTTTTTTGACAAGTGGGTCTTCCAGCTAGAGCCCAAGGGAACATCATGCGGGACAAAAGCGCCCTACGGCGCCGCGCAACTAAGCTCACCCATCATGAAGGTTTCTCTCTTGGAAGCCCATTGGTGAATGATCACAGCTCACCCAGAGCCGTTTGACTTGGCTTTGAGTCGTTTGAATCATCTGCTGTGAGCACGTGTTTCAAATCTGTCCAATGGGAGGTCCGATTGTGAGACAGGCTATGCCAAGAAAGTCCCGAATCGGATGTCTGCAACGATGCCTCCGTAGCATAGAGGGCTTGGAGTGAAGTTACCAGTGAGCTATTAGAGTTGGTATATCCTACAGGCACCTTTCAGACAGTTCCTTCCATTGATCCAAACCGTGGACGAACCTGACTCAACAAGGAAAGCCACCTAGTCCCCAATTTTAAGGAACGAGCAATGGCTTCCGACCAGCTTGGGTGTGGGGGCTTGGAGAAGTGTTTTTGGAAGGACGCCCAAAGGAAGCCAAACAAGTTCCCAGATGTCTAGGGGCCCAACAAGTGATTCGTTTGTTCATTGTCAAAGTCAGTCCCTGGATACTGATTGGGCAAACTGGAAAAATGATGCTCATTGGGGCGTAAGAAAAAGGTGCTTGATCCTTTGGCTTGCAACTGGTTCGCAACTTGGGGTCATGATGGTCGTTCATCCTATGGTCGAGTTTCTAAATTCATCCTGAGTGCTTCCGGCTACCGCGGGTACTCAGGGCTTACCTCTAGGCCATGGCTAGCCTGGCACGTCTGAGGGCCCTCTGAAAGCGAGAACTGGGCTATTGAAGTCTGCGATGTGAGGACTTTCTCTCCGCGCTTTTCCCCTTTCGAAACACATGGTTCACGCATTTCTTCAATGGGAGTCACAGGGAAGCCAGAGACTTTTGGACCGTTTCACATTTGTGTGTGTAGCAATAGGCGGCCCTGGTGTATGGTCTATACTCTGGGGTTAACTCTGGTGTATGTCTATTACTATGGTCTATTACTCTGGTGTATGGTCTGTTACTCTGTTAGTTTCGTGGTTTCCTTTGAAGGTGGACACTGCACCTCAATCAGTGCATTCTCACGCGAGGCCGGCGCTCATTGCCCACCGCGACGCCGTGATCATGATCATCACCGTCACGGCCCACGCCCCGAGCGGATCAAAGCAGTGTTGGAGGGGTAGAGTTGGAGGCTTTGACTCTTTTTGAACAATGGTGGCTCAGATGAACCCAAGTGGTCTATATACAAATACAGGTACATTTGGGTATGCACACATACCAGAGCTTGTTGTTTGATGTTGGTAGGGATGGTCATCGATCTTTTCAAGCAGGCCATCAGTTCCCAGCAAGATCGGTGTGGATATCCTTCGGACGCTTTTTGCCACGAAAGGCAGCACGCGATTCGCTTGCAGTGAGTTTGCCAGCCAAACGACCCGATTCCAGGGTTCTTTTTGCGGATTCCCCCTGTCTTTCCCTCGTTGATCCTGCTGCCGCTTCTTTTCCCTCCGCGTTGTCCTATCATTCCTTTTGGTGGCCCTAAACGGGGCATCAATAAACGGGTTTCACCTTTGGGCTGTTTTGGGCCCATGGAAGGTAACGTGTTTGGGGGAACCCCGTTGATGACTCCCCCGTTTAGGGACCTCGAATTCCTCTTCCATCTCCTTCTGTTTCGCTTTCCTCTTCCTCCTTCCGCCTTCCTGCTCGCTTTGGGCTGTTTGCTCATGCACCTCCGGTTTCGGAAGCCAACAAACAGTTATTCATTTCAAGACATCCCTTTCAGCCAGGTTTCCGAGAGCATGGTTGCCTTCCAACACTGTCCACTTTCTTGATTATCCATGTGGCTATGAGTTGCAACTATCTCAAAAATGGTTGGTGGACATGAATCATGTCTTCCAAAAAATCCCGATTAGAATCCCTGCTCAGGTGCTTTACCCGCTGTGCAGCCTCAAGTCGTCGCTGCCCGAGACACCTGGGAGTATGGCAGCAACTTCCTGAACCAGAGTTGGAACAATCATAATTTACTGTTTGGACAAAAGTGTTGGAGTATGGCGGCCAGAGTTTGCTGGTCTTGGTGATGCAAACAGATGTTGGAACCAGACCCTGGCGGAGTTTGTTGAAACAGGCAAACATCCTCGAGGGTTTAGGGGCTGCTCCCCATTGTGTTCTTTTTTTTAATATCCTCTTTTTGTATTGTCCCTTTTTTCTTCTTCTTTTGTATTTTTGTTTCTCTTCTTTTTTGTCTCCCCATATTTCCCGTAAAACAAGTCACTCTCATGTTAAACCACTGACCAGCGAACTTGTCGCTCTGCTTTGCCCCATTGCTCCCTTCAAAACAATGGAACCACGTTTCGGTAGAAACATGACCTTCCAAATCGTGGTTTTTTCAAGGGAACCCACCTGCCAGCATATGGGTGCTTGCCCTCTTTCCAGAAAGCCGGTAGGCTCTCTCGTTTTCCTAAGGGTCGAATGAGCCGTTCTACTTCCTGACAGCAGAGACAGCGGCGTTGCGCGTTTCGTTGTTTCGAGGCTCGCCCCTCTGGCGAAGTTTTCCTTGCTGGGAGTGTAGCCGCCTTAGCGCCGACTCGCCACTTGCGCTTGGTTCTCGGGTTGCAAAAAGCCGACGTTGGGTCGGTCTATTTTTGGGGTGGTCTGAAAGGGACGGCCGCCATAAGGGGTTCGAAGGAAACAGCCTAGAGTAGCGTTGAGGGGTGAAAAGGGTTCTTACTTGCAATGCAAAGAACGCTGAAGCGGCAGATTCATCCAGGCCCTTCATTTCGTGGGGATGTCAACGAGGCTTCTCCCGGTTGGAACGGGGAGATGAAAATGATGCGCCTCCAAAGCCACAGGGATTATAAAGGCCTTGTTTTTTCCTCCAGGGAGATGAATCCGGCCTCTGCATTCGGAATTCGGGATGTGTTCGTTATTCGGGATGTGTTCGTTCAGGCAGCTTTTGCAAAAGCAGAGTTCAAATTAGCAGAAGCCATTGTCCCACTTGCAACAAAACTAACTTCGGGGGAGTTTTTGGTTTCCTTTTCAGTTTCCCTTCAAAGCACTTGAGACGATCTCAAGTGGCGTCCAAAGTTTGGGACCCCGACATGTCATGAGCCTAGGCCGCAAAGACTCCGTGAACAAAGAACTGACATTTTTGTATATGGCTGTGACTGAAAAAACCGGTACCAAAATGGAACCCTGGCAAGTGGAAACATGGACCAAAACCTGCGGTTTGCTCTCCGATCGTTTAATGTTGAGCCACAGCCATATGTTTTGCTCGGAAGTCCAATGGAGCCCTTTGCGACGAAGCCGGCGCTCAGGCTTCCTTGGGCTTGCAACCCCTTCACCATGGAATCGCCTTGACTTGGGTCTCTTTTGGTGGACCCCCTGATTTTGCTTGAGTTTAAATGGCGTGTTTGGGGCGGGGGGCTTGCCGCAAAGGGTTTTTTTGATTCCCTGTTTTCATAGCGGTTGCTGGAGGAACGGGCAAACGCCGCCCAAAAAGGGGAAAGAGGCTCAACCCGTTTTGGAAGACAAGCCCCGACTCGCAGGCTCAGCAACTTTTTCATCTGCTCCTTCATTGCTCTGCGCTGCATCGACGGCTCCTACGCCAAGGATTCGGTTTTCGATCGATTCGGCGAGGCGTCGGGCTGGCCCCAAACATGCGTCCGAGAGGACCATCCCTTGCAATGCGTAGTCCAGTTGGGTTTTAACCTTTGCAGGTTGGTTTGGGATACGGAAAGGGGAGACCCACATCTTTTTGTGGGTGCCAATCTCTAGTTTGACAGTTCTATCCATTTGCTATTGGTTTCAGGCAAAGACTTTGTCAGGTATAGAAAAGACGGCCCTTCCCATGGGGGGTATGAGTTTGGGCCCACAACCGCTTTTGGAAGGAGCCACCCACCCCATCCTTGAGACCTCTCGGTGCCTTGCAAACCTTTCCGGGGTTTGTCCCGGCTCCTGGTGTTTGTAAGCGGACTGTTGCGCATCGAGTCATCCGAGTATATCGATGGACCAATTCGGGCATCTGTTGACAGGTTTGTCCGAGCCGGGGGGCCAGGTTTTACCCATTGACGCCGGTTTCATTTGGGTTTCATCCGGTGCCGCCCACGGCACCGGGCCATGGGGTCCCAACAGTCGCTTGAGAGATTTTTCCGTTTCGAAGGCTTCGGGTCAGAAAGGGCCGAAGCTCATGAAGTCCAAGGGCCGGAGCAGCGCTGCGGGAAGTTGAAGCATTCGGAACATGAGGGCTGGAAACACGGATCTGTGGTGTGAGGTCTATCTGGGCCAATCTTTCAACCTCGAGAAAGGAGCACCGAGCTCACCCACGAAGGCTCTTTACCAAAATAATCCTGATTTCAGCTCTGTGAACTATGGTAGATTGGCTGGATGTTTCTGAAAAGAGTCTCGATGTTTCAAGCTACCGATCACAGAATTCCAGTCAGCGCAGATAACTGGATGTTTCCAACAACAAAGAACCCATATTTTCACTAGGGTGAAAGTCGATGGCACAACTTCCTCTATTTGGGCAAGTAAAAGGGATGTCTAGGGGGAAATTCTGCAATCTACTTTCGCCTAGCTACACTTTTGGTGAGCCCACTATGAATCTGGGTTTTACATGCATTGTCCTTTTTTTTTGTGAGCCTGGTTAAAAAATCGATGGCCCTGGTTTAGATGGGTTTTGTTCCATTTACCAGGGCAACCCATCTAGTTTTCCAAAAGGCCACCTATGCCCGGAACCCCCCCCCCCCCTTTTGTTTGATTTATACCTTGATCTCCATGCAACCGTCTGGCTCAAGGCCCTTTTTTCTCATGTCTTTTCAAAAAAAAAAGCAAAACATTGGTATTCGCAGTGTTTTCTGAGCTTTGCAGTGCTAAAACTACATCCACCAGGGAGCACCCCTTCTGTTTCAAAACCAGACGGTTACAGACTGGAGACGTCGCATCGCTCAGGGCGGCAGCCTCTTCCACGCAGCGCCCCTCGCTCCCCAGCCCGGGGGCCCCGACTGGGAGGGGTGGATGGCAGAGGTCCGTGGAAGGGTCTTTGGTGGCTGGGAGCCATCCGGTTCCTTAGCTTTTTTTGTTTGTTTGTTTTTTTTTTCTTCAGGTTTTTTAGGGTTTAGTGGTTGGGTAGATCTTTAACCCACCAGAAGGTGGACTTTTAGCAGGGGATCAGTTTTGACAGCCCAGTATTATGTTGTGAGCACGACTTGGTTTGGAAAAAAGGTCCCCAACCTTCGGTGATTTTTCTCATGGCCCTTGCAGAGTTCCCTTTGGGCCAGGGGCGTGTCCTGAAGGCGACGTGTAGGGTGTGGCTCAAAATGAAACGATCGGAGGGGCAAGCCGCAGGTTTTGGTCCATGTTTCCACTTACCAGGTTGCCAACCCATCTTGGAATTCCGGTTTCTGGAGCGAGCCACAGCCAAGAGAAGAGGGGAAGAAGGGGCGTGTGCCCCAATATCAACAAGTCCCTGAAGCACTCAGCGTGGTGCCGAGGTTCGTTGCCTCTGGGAGCGCCTTCAGCCAGCTCTTCCATCCAGGTGCCAGATTCAAGTGGGGGTGAGGTTGCCATTTGAGCCATAACCAAAACGCGGGTAAGTTCAGGTTAGTAAGGGAAAGTCAGCTGCGGCCGCCTTGGTAGTTGACTGACTTGGTTTCGGGGTGCAACGGAAAACAGCTGTCACAACTTCCTGCGATCTGGGAATCCCCTCCACAGTAGCAAAAAGTGGTCATGGGAAATCCCTCAGGGTTCGCCTCCGCAGATCCCTTCGAACGCGCACCATGGAACAGATATTTTTTTTTCCCCCTTTTTCTTCTTCTTCTTTTTTTTGGAACGCCCTCAGAAATGGTTCACATAACTTGAAAACTAGGTGTGCTCCTGGGTTGCTTTGCGGTATCCCTGCACCGAAACGGCATCCTCCCCCAAATGGGCGGGTGAGCATTGCTTGGCGCTTTTTTCTTCTTTTTTTTTTGCGTCCTAGCAACATGAAGCGAACGGCTCCAGGCATTTCCGTGTTGCTGAGCATCCTGGCGACGGCGTACCTGGCGCACTACAACGCGCGGGGCTCGGAGGATTGGGCATGCTTTGAAGGGAACGTCTCGAAACGGGTTTTTGTCTTTCAGGTGACCCCCAAAAATGGGTGCGTTTCCTCTTGGCTTTGAAACCTAGGACCTAGCAAAACGGGTTACCCGCAAAGAACACACCCCACTTTTTGCCTCAGTGGTCCTGGAGGGCCCAGGGCCCTGATTTTATCGAGAAGCTGAACCGGGTGTTTCCCCGAACCACTGCGGGTAGTTCTCGCCGAGCGTTTCGGTGGTAGCGAAATCCACACAGAACGACCGCAGGTGGCATGTGTCAGTTGAAAGGCGCCGAGGGTTGGAAAGAATGTCAGGTCCTCCACTTGGTGGTTTGCATTTGTGGTTTGGATTCGGATTTGAACCCCCTGGTTCTTGTGGGTAAATGGGTTTCTCACCCCTATCCACTTGGAAACCACGTGTGGAACACCAAACCACTGGGCTCCAAACCATGCATATCACTGCTTTGCCTCGTGCGTGCGGTTCCACGCCGAGGCGCCGTTGTTCTACGAGCAGCTGGCGCCAGACCCGAAGACTGGGAAGAAGGCGCCTGTGTTTTTGCCAGTCTGCTTTTTGTTTGAGTTCTATCTTGTTTGTGGCGCTACAGGCTCCTGGAAGGTTCTTGGGAGGTTCTGGGCTAGTCTGTGGGGGTACTCGACTTCTTGGGCATATGTTGCCTCTTTGTGGATGGTTTTCAAGGGAAACAAAGAGGACTGCACCAGTTTCAGAGCTCAGAGGTCTCCCTTGTTTGGCTCCCGACAGCTATGGCGTGCATTCTGCCTTTCCATCAGCCCGTTTCACCTTTTGGGAATCTAAGACTGGCGCTTGTTGAACTTTGGACCCAGTGAAATTCCACCGGCGAAGCGGGCGCTCGACCAGTTCCATTCTGCCAGGAGCAGCGTTTCGTGCTAGTGTCCATCATCGGCTTCTGCGTGGCAGGACTGGCCTTCGCTTTTCGGATTGCAAAGGCAAAACACACATGTCACATGATGTTTGGAGACAAATATGTTTGGAGACAAAGATGTCTGGGGACAAAGATGTTTGGAGACAAAGATGTTTGGAGGCAAAGATGTTTGGAGACAAAGATGTTTGGAGACAAAGATGTTTGGAGACAAAGATGTTTGGAAACGAAGATGTTTGGAGACAAAGATGTTTAGAGACAAAGATGTTTGGAGACAAAGATGTTTGGAGACAAAGATGTTTGGAGACGAAGATGTTTGGAGACAAAGATGTTTGGAGACAAAGATAATTGGAGACAAAGATGTTTGGAGACAACGATGTTTGGAGACACATATGTTTGGAGACAAAGATGTTTGGAGACAACGATGTTTGGAGACAAAGATGTTTGGAGACAAAGATGTTTGGAGACGAAGATGTTTGGAGACAAAGATGTTTGGGGACAAAGATGTTTGGAAACGAAGATGTTTGGAGACGAAGATGTTTGGAGACAAAATATGTTTGGAGACAAAGATGTTTGGAGACAAAGATGTTTGGAGACAAAGATGTTTGGGGACAAAGATGTTTGGAGACGAAGATGTTTGGAGACAAAGATGTTTGGAGACAAAGATGTTTGGAGACGAAGATGTTTGGAGACGAAGATGTTTGGAGACAAAAAATGTTTGGAGACAAAGATGTTTGGAGACAAAGATGTTTGGGGACAAAGATGTTTGGAGACAAAGATGTTTGGAGACAAAAGATGTTTGGAGACAAAGATGTCTGGGGACAAAGTTCCCAATTCACTGGGAGTGAAAGTTGAAAAAGCTGGAGTTTTGCACCAGCATCACCAGCATCACCAGCATCGCCAGCATCGCATCGCCCACATCAACAACATGGCCAGCATCACCAGCATCACCAGCATTGCCAACATCATCATCATCATCATCACCACCATCAATATCAATGCATCATTAGACCTAACAATGAACCCTGTTCCACTTTGAAAAAGGGAACCGGTTTTTTCCGTTTCTGATTTGTTTCATGCTTATGAACCACGACAATGAGCGTACTGGCCTTTGCGCCACAGGCAGATGTGGGAGACGTGTGTCGACATGTGTCAAGCCAATACCCAGATCCGTCGCCTTTGGTCCACTCACCTGAGATTTATGCCACGATTCCAGAGCACATGCCCCAATCTTTTACAGCTACACGCCACGTGTCTTGCCACGCGGCGTATCATGGTTTCTGCTCAAATTCCCCTTCGGAGTGAGCGCAGTGTCGTAGCTCACCGTTGTTGCGACAAGCACGCTCATTCTAGGGTGCTGCCTTATTGGTTAACTATCGCACCGAATTTTCACTAGGTAACAATTCACTGCTTAAGCATCAGGGAATCCAAGAGGGTTCTAGTCAACACGTTCAAACCCGTTGAGCTTGCACCAAAGGACGATCATGTTTGTAGCATCCGAAACGAATCCATTTGTTGGAACCTATGTAGAATTGGTCACCCGCTTAGCGCGGCAGGCCATCGCCACACTTCAGTTGGCAGGGGGGCTACGGTTCTCAATCCCAAAGCGTGCCAGCCGCATGCGCGAGGCCTCATATTTAGCTTGGTGATGGCGGGAGGCCTGTGCGCGTTCTGCGCGCGTGCGGGCCTTTTCTTTGCGCGTGCTTTGCGTGTTCAGGAAGCGGCCTCCCTTCAGATGACTAGCTATGGGCCATTGCTCAAAATTGGGGTCAGTCCATTTCCTAAAATGAGAACGGTTTGCTTTCTTTTTTGGAAATACAGGGTCCACCAACCCCCCCACCCCCCCCCTTACTTTCAGAACGTTGTCATGCCCAAAGGACGTACTTTTTTGCCTGGCAGCACTTGCCAGGGTGTCTGAACAATGGGGAGCTTTGGCCGGGAAATCACGTTTTGGGTGTGTTTCTGGGAAGATTAGGCAGCCCTTGTAGCGCCAAGGGAATCAATAGGGACCATTTGGAAGAGTCCGAATGTGGCGAAAGGCCTGGTTTCTCCTTCGGCTAGCGTAAGGTCATGTACTTTTGCCTTTTCTATAAAAAGTGCATGACAACAGCTCAGGAAATTGGCGGACTCTGGTGGGGTTTCGTTTGGCTCCGGTTTTTCCGGACTGGGTCGGAATCTCCTTTGTCTTTGGTCCATTCACGATGTGTGTGTGATTTTTTAATGGGTCCACAAGGACCTCTGCTGGACATCGGAATTCGGTGGAGATTCAGGTAACCACCAACCACTGTTGAGGTGATTCAAAGTCTTCAAATTCGTGGCCACATCCCACAAACTAGGGGACGAGCCCTAATTGTTCCGTGTCCCCTTAGGGGAACTAGGGGAACATTCGCAAGTTTGACCGTGGGCTCATGCTTGTTTTGTCCATAGCCCATCCCACGCATCAACGCGAGGTCTATTTGGAAAGAGGCATGATATGATTTCTTGTTTGGGGTGAAGTGCGCATCACTTCGTGGTTGGCATTCTTGAATGCGATTCCTTTTGGAGGGGTGATGCTTAAAGGGGGGATGCAAGGCACCCTGCAGGAAGCAAGCATTCCCAAGACATGTCTACAAGCCATTTGCAAGGGAGGACCAACTGTCGTTAATGGCAATCTGGTTGATCCATTGTAGTGCAGAGATTTCCCACCTCATGAAGGCAATTTCAGGTCGAAGTATGGCTCGTCCAGACGCTTGCAAGCTTGCTTCAATGGAACTGAGGATCTGGATGATATTCGGAGGTCGTTTGTTCATCCCTGTTGAATGATGGCATGCAACGCGTTGACTTCGGGCTTACCCAAGAAGGTTCCTTTCGTGGGAATTCTTGATTTGAGGTTGTTGATGAAGCATACTCATTCCCGGAGATGTTGGCCTTTGGTACTGCTGAACTTGGATTTCTCCCCCTGTGAGATTCCCGCGTAAATAGGATATGTCTCTGGCAGACCTGTTTTTCCCCTGGCACCTCTCGACAGGCTTCCTGACCTTCGGCAAGCATAGCATGGGCCTCATCTTGAACAACTATGCCGCCACGGACCGCACCGGGGCCCAAGAGTTTGGACATTCGGGCAGGGGTGGGGTCGGGGATTGTATCATCTACTTTCACCCGCGTAAATGGGGGTTCACCCCCTGATGAATCGACCATCGTAAGAAAGCCGGGTGGATGAAGCTTAGGGGCAGTTCCAACCAGAAAATGGGTGCAGCCACCTTTGTAGTTCTTTAGGTTCTGGGTCCGTTTTAGTACCGATCGGTTTTGATTATGACTCGGACCATGGAGAGGCACAGGGCGGTGGGGCAAGATAGCATCAAGGTTTTATTACCCGTCCGTGGAATCCTGGAACGTCCAATGGAATGGACTTGTCGCCAGGTTGCGTAGGAATGACGCATGGGGAATCTCAATCTTTCAACCCTTCAATACCACAAAGGCAAACCGCCATTTTGTCTTCATCCGCATTCTTCGCCTTTCCGGGATCGCCCCCCGCCATGACCCGGCCATGACCCAGCCATGACCCGGCCGCCCAGATCTGGCGCTCTTCGCGCGGGGGGCCATCGTCATGTCGCTGGTCACCGCGTATCCCCTGGTGTTCCTCAGTCTGCGGAAGCAGGCGGCTGCGCCGTCGGAGTCGAGTCCGGTTGCTTCGGAGGGAAGCCTCCAAGGAATGCCGAGAAACCCATGGGGTGTTGGTTTGGTTAGGTCCTTGGGTTTTTTCCGGAAGGCCTGGAAGAACGAACATTTTGGCAGAAGCAAAGGGCCAAAATTCGTCTTTGGGCACTGGGTTCCGTGAAAGCCAGTAGTCTATGGTCCACTGGGGACATGGCGGCACTGCAGTTCAGACTCCGGGCCATGGAACCCATAGACTCAGCTGCGAACCAAAAACCAGATGTTTAGACCTTGCCACATTTAGACATCCGTTTGGGTCCTCACAAAATGATGCCCCCTGAAATCTCTCTCGTCTTTTGCTTTGTTTCCACCACGCCGGGCTTTCCCCCAGGCGGATTTTTCACCTTGGGGTCGTGAAAATCGACCGGCACAAGCCGCGGGATGGAAAGCCCCCGGCGATCCGTTCGAAACGACGACGAAGTTTCGGCTCGGAGGTGCTGGAGCTCGCGGAGGACAAGGCGGAGGAGCTGGCTGAGAAGCCCAGGCGCGGGGAAAATGGAAACCGCAGCGAGGGTTTCGTGGCCCGGCGTTTGTCTGGGAACTCCTTGGGGACTCTGTGGGGTGACCGAATCATTCAGGTAATTTTGGGAGGTTTGGATTGGTGGTTTGGAGTCGGATTTGATCTTGTAGAGGAGAAATGGGAGACCATCTAACGTCCAAACGAATGCAAGCCACCAATCCCTCTGTTTCCCTTTCCTAGTATCAGCACAAAGGCAGCCCATTCAAGTGGTTTGGATGGTTCCCTTTGCGTGGCGGGAATTCAAAAGGACTCCCTTTGCATTGCGGGCCCTTTGGTTTAAGAGAGAGAGAGGCAATCGCATGGTACCGTGGAATATGCATCCATATATATATATATATACGTACGCAATGCCCGGGGTTTGCCCAGGCGTACCAGCGTGTATATATATATATATATATGTACATATATATATATGTGTGTGTGTATGTATGTGTATGTGCATGTGTGTATCTGACTAGTGCTGAGTTGAGGCTTCTGTTCTGACCAGTGCTGACTTGAGGTTTGTGTTCCCTTCCTGGTGGGCAACAACGTTTCATGATGCCACGAGTGGGCTCGAGCAACATGAGTAGTGGCGAGTGGGAACGTCGTGCTTGGCATTCCTTGAGTTTGTCTCCACGCCAGCACATACTCTCCTTTCTAACAGAGACCGAGAAGCCACGCTTCGAGCTGACAGCCTGGAACGAGAATCCGGTTCCTGTTTCCAGGTGCCTGTGGCTCATTAGGGTTTATGGTTTTACGGTTAAGGTTTGGGGCTTATTTTTTTAGGGTTAATATTGTAGGGTTCAGGTTTTTTTGGGTTAAGGCTTCGGGTTAAGGTTTTTGTAGGGTTAACGTTTAGGGTTTATGGTTTTAGGGTTAAGGTTTGAGGTTAAGTTGTTTTAGGGTTAAGGTTTAGGGTTTATGGTTTTAGGGTTAAGGTTTGAGGTTAAGTTGTTTTAGGGTGAAAGTTTAGGGTTTATGGTTTTAGGGTTAAGGTTTGAGGTTAAGATTTTTTTGGGTTAAGGTTTAGGGGTTTTTGTGCTAGGGTTAAGGTTTGGGGTTAAGTTTTTTTTGGGTTAAGGTTTAGGCTTTTTGGTTTTAGGGTTACGGTTTAGGGTTAAGGTTTTTTAGGGTTCAGGTTTAGGGTTTTTGGTCTTAGGGTTAAGGTTTAGGGTTGAGGTTTTTTGGGGTTAGTTGGGCGTCCGGGTAAACCGCAGGGATTGGCCGTATATACATATGTATATATAAATGTTTTCACACAAGGAGCTTTGGAATCCGGAGTTAAGCCTGAAAAGGGTGTGGAGTTGTCCATGTTTTTCTTTGGGGGAGAAGGCCTGATCCTAAGTATGGCAAGATAGGAACACAGGAAGCGCTGCAAGTCATGATGGTTTCGCGGTTGGTTCACTTGCAGACTTTGGGGGTTCAATCGTAAGGCAGATTTCTTTGGGGTGATTTGCTATATTTGGAGTTAGTTTGGAAGGGCAACCTTGATTTGAAGAAGGCAGGGGAAATCGAAGGGACACCGCAACGGGGACAACCCAAACAGGTTTTCCTCTCTAGTGCCTTGTTTCGAGTTCCTGGGTATATGGTCGAGCTAGCATCAGCCCACAAAGGCGTGGCAGTCACTTAAGCATGGCCTTGTCAAAAGACAATGTTGAAAACCTCGCAAAAGAAGCACATGTGGGCATTCGTATCTTGGGGGATGGAGCTGTAATTTTCTGAGCTCTCAGCTGGCTGGCCGTTGGCTGGTTGGTCGGCCAGGCTGGCCGCCGGCCTCATTTGGATCTGTTTTTGACACTGGCTCACTCAGTTGCTACATGTCGCATACTGTGAATCCTGCACCAGTTGGTTGGTAGTGTGGTCGATTATTTATAGGTTTGCATCCATCCCAACATATATATTTTAGTGCCTCCGGCTCAGGCCGCCGACATTACAGGCCTGCTTTCTTATTTGCGTCCCTTTGGAATTGTCCCCTTGCCCCCTTCCCCTCTGAGATTTTTGCCCCCCTTTCTTTGTTGAGATCCATTCCCCCTTTCCGCCCGAAGGCCTTTTCTCCCTCTGTTTTTTTCCCTTTTCCTCCCCAAGATGTTTTCACCCCTCTCCCTGTTGAGATCCTTTCCCCCCCTTCCCCCCTAAGGCCTTTTCCCCCCTGAGATCTTCTCCCTTTGCCTCCCTAAGATCTCCCAGATCGTCTCCCTTTCAGGGAGAAGATCTGGGAGAAAAGGACTTAGGGGGGAAAGCCCAACAGGGAAAGGGGGGAAAAGATTTAGGAAGGAAAAGGGAGAAGCTCTCAGGGGGGGGAAAGGCCTTAGGGGGGAAAGGGGGAAAAGGATCTCAGCGGGGGGGGGGGAAGATCTTAGGGAGGAAAGGGAGAAGATCTGGGGACAAAGGCCTTAGGGGGGAAAGGGGAGAAATGATCTCAACAGGGAAAGGGGTGGAAAAGATCTTAGGGCGGAAAGGGAGAAGATCTGGGAGAAAAAAGGCCAACAGGGAAAGGGGGGAAAGACCTAAGGAAGGAAAAGGGAGAAGCTCTCAGGGGGGGGAAAGGCCTGAGGGGGGAAAGGGTGGGAAGGATCTCAACAGGGAAAGGGGGGAAACAATCTTAGGAAGGAAAGGGAGAAGATCTGGAAAGGCCTTAAAGGGAAGGGGGGAAAGGATCTCAACAGGGAAAGGGGGCAAAGGATCTTAAGGAGGAATAGGAAGAAGATCTCAGCGGGGGGAAAGGCCGTAGGGGGGAAAGAGGGGAAAGGATCTCAGCAGGGAAAGGGGGGGAAAGATCTCAGTGAAAAAGGGAGAAGGTCCCAGGCAGGGAAAAGGCCTTAGGGGGGAAAGGGGGAAAGGATCTCAACAGGGACAGGGGGCAAAGGATCTTAGGGAGGAAAAGGGAGAAGATCTGAAAAGGCCTTAGGGGGAAAAGGGGGAAAGGAGCTCAACAGGGAAAGGTGGGAGAAGATCCTAGGGAGGAAAAGGGAGAAGATCTCGGGGGAAAAGATCTTGGGGAGGACAAGGGAGAAGATCTCAGGGGGGGGAAGGCCTTAGGGGGGAAAGGGGGGAAAGGATCTCAACAGGGAAAGGGGGCAAAGGATCTTAGGGAGGAAAAGGGAGAAGATCTTGGGGGGGAAAACGCCTTAGGGGGGAAAGGGCGGGAAAGGATCTCAACAAGGAAAGGGGGGAAAAGATCTTAGGAAGGAAAAGGGGGAAGATCGCAGGGGGAAAAAAGGCCTTAGGGGGGAAAGGAGGGAAAGGATCTCAACAGGGAGAGGGGGGAAAACATCGTGGGGAGGAAAAGGGAAAAACTCAGAGGGAGAAGGGGCCTTAGGGGGGAAAGGGGGGATGGATCTCAACAGGGAAAAATGGCAAAAGATCTTAGGGAGGAAAAGGGAGAAGATCTCAGGGGGGGAAAGGCCTTAGGGGGGAAAGGGGGGAAAGGATCTGAGCAGGGAAAGGGGGGGAAAGATCTTAGGGAGGAAAGGGAGAAGATCTGGGGGCAAAGGCCTTAGGGGGGAAAGGGGAGAAATGATCTCAACAGGGAAAGGGGTGGAAAAGATCTTAGGGAGAAAAGGGAGAAGATCTGGGGGAAAAATGCCAACAGGGACGGGGGAAAGATCTAAGGAAGGAGAAGCTCTCAGGGGGGGAAAGGCCTCAGGGGGAAAGGGTGGGAAGGATCTCAACAGGGAAAGGGGGGAAACAATCTTAGGAAGGAAAGGGGGGGGGGGAAGATCTTAGGGAGGAAAGGGAGAAGATCTGGGAGAAAAGGACTTAGGGGGGGAAGCCCAACAGGGAAAGGGGGGAAAAGATCTTAGGAAGGAACAGGGAGAAGCTCTCATGGGGGGGAAAGGCCTTGGGAGGGAAAGGGGGGAAAGGATCTCAACAGGGAAAGGGTGGGAAAGATCTTAAGGAGGAAAGGGGGGGGGAAGATCTTTGAGAGCTTCTCGCTTTTCCTTCCTAAGATCTTTTCCCCCCTTTCCCTGTTGGCCTTTTTTCCCCAGATCTTCTCCCTTTCCTCCCGAAGATCTTTTCCACCCCTTGCCCTGTTGAGATCATTTCTCCCCTTTCCCCCCTAAGGCCTTTTTGCCCCAGATCTTCTGCCTTTCCTCCCTAAGATCTGGAAATGAAGGGGGGAAAGGGGGAAAGGATCTCAACAGCGAAAGGGGGGGAAAGATCTCAGGGAGGAAAGGGAGAAGATCTGGGGAAAAAATGCCTTCAGGGGGAAAGGGGGGAAAAGATCTTGGGAGGAAAAGGGAAATCTTTCTCGGGGGGAACAGGCCCTAAGGGGCAATCGGGGGACAGGATCTCAATCGGGAAAGAGAGAAAAAAACTTTGGGAAGAGAAGGGTGGAGATCTTGGGGGGAAAAGGCCTTAGGGGGGAAAAGGGGACAAGGATCTTAAGCGGGAAAGGGGGGAAGAGATCTTAGGGAGGCAAAGGGAGACGAACTCAGGGAAAAGGACTTAGGGAGGAAAGGGGGGGAAAGATCTTTGGGAGGAAAAGGGAGAAGAACTGAGGGTGGGAAAATGCCTTAGAAGGAAAAGGGGGAAATAAATGATCTCAACAAGGAACTGGGGGGGGGTTCACCAGCATAGGCAACATCCCCAGCATCACTTGCATCATCCGCATCCTTGGCAGGCGCTGATGCGGATGATGCAGGTGATGCTGGCGATGTGCCGCTGGAGCTGCTAAGGATGCGAAAGCGCACCCGGGGGGAATCGAACACCCCAATGTTTTTGACAAGCCCGCACAATGAACAGATTTAGTGAAGTACGTGGACCCCCCCCCCCCCCCCGCAATAGTCTGGAATGCTGCCCCTGGGGAGGGGTTAGGGGAGGGGTAACAGGTCAAGAGGTAAGGAGCATTTCTTATGTCCAACACGCCGCCTGTTGTCGGCGGATATATATATATATATATATATATATTTCAGACGGTAAACGGAACGACCCGGGCCACGCTCACCAAGGGATTGCTCGCCAACTTCCGTTTGTTTTACTGATGTCAACAGGCTCGAGCCGTATGTGTCACTTTTTGGAGCTTCTTTTTTGGTCAAAGGGAAAGTGCCAATTTTCGGGCTTCACTTTCGGGACAGACCCATATAGAGTGTGCATTCCCACCGCCGCCCTCCCACCGACACGCCGCGCTCACGCACCGCCCCGGCGGAGGCTCATGACCATCTGCTTGCTGGCAGGCGATGTCTTGGATGGAGATGGCCGTGGCTCAAAAAACAAGTGCCAAAATGGGTTGCCCTGCTGAGTGGAAACATGGACCAAAACCTGCGGTTTGCCCCCTCCGATCGTTTAATTTTGAGCCACACCCAGATGGCAGAAAAGGGTCCTATTTTCGAGCTGCACCCAGGTTGCCCTCTGATTTTCGTATCTTTGGGAGCAGTTTGTTCTGCGGAAGACCATCAACCCGTTCAAAAGGGTTCGGGTGCGCGATTTTTCACCCAGGTTTGTTTGGTTGCCGACGGCTTACCAACGGCAACCAAACACGAAGTCTATGAGATGGTTGGAAGGTTCCTAAGGGAAGCCTCCGCATGTCTCTTCAAATTTTGGCGAAGCCTGAAAACACACACAAGTTGGATGAGAATTACTTCCATTTGTCGGCTGCAGAGTAAGTGGTTAGAACGGCGCGGGAAGGGGACGCAACGCGGCGAAGCGTGGTTATGGTTTGTGACTGGTTGAAACGACTTCGAACATGGCGGGTGGACATAAATCCCGACATGTTCAGGAGTCATACCCCACAGCCGTTTGTTTGGCTGGTTTGACCCACCTGCCCAACTGGGGTGAGAGTTTGTGAGTCAGGAATTGAAACTGGGAGCCGACTTTCGGTTCCCTTTTCTTAACAGAAACCCCTAGCGGACAGTGGACACATCGTTTTGAGGGTACCCTGTTGGGAGATGGTTTTAAAGGGAAAATCAGCAAAACGTGCCCCCCCCCCCCCCCATTTTGGGTGTGGCTCAAAATTAATCAGGAGGGGTTACGCATGTTTTGGTCCATGTTTCCACTTACCAGGGTTCCATTCTGGTACCGGCTTGGTGAGCCACGGCCATTTAGCTCGTTTTCAAACCTTGGACCTGCGAAACCAAACTGGATTCGGTTGATTTTAACACGCGCTCCGTTTGAGAGGAAGACAGGCGAGAAACCACTTTTTGTTTGGTCAGCTTCCGCCTCCATTTCTCCGTTGTTTCAAGAAATCCCTCTTTTCGAAATAGGCCAAACGCGCTGGGGGCAATTTGGCCGGCGAACAGCATGGTTGGCATCAACTCGACTTACCCTCCGATGATCACCGGAAGACCATTCTTCAATTAGACCTTCTAGTTCGTTCCATGCCAACGTGCGAAGCGGCGCGCATTTTTTCGATGGAACACGTTAAGCAGGGAAACCGTCCTTTTTGGACGACATGTTTGGCAAGATTTTGGGTTGGACATGCTCCGCAACTAGTGGTTCCGGTTTCCTTCTTGAAGGTATGGACTGTGCTACTTGGCAGGGCTTCTATCGCCTTGAGGCTGTATGATTTTCAAGGGGGAACACCCTCAAAATTGTTATAAATGTCCACCAAAAGGTTCCCAATCGACACTCAAGCAGCAACCCAAGAAGCCATCTGGGTGTGGGTCAAAATTAATCCAAGACAGCAGATTTTGGTCCATGTTTCCACTTACCAGGGCAACCCATTTTGGAATTCCGGTTTTTTGACCCACAGTCATCTCTCTTTTTCCTCCTTGGACGGGTGTTTGCTTCCAGCCCTTTTGAAGTTTTCAGGTCGCCGTCCTGCGGCAAGTGCCCCCCCCCGCCAGGCATCACTGCCATTGCGCTGAGGCCGGCGTCTGAACGTCGGACTTCCGGGAGTTTGGTTCCGCGTTCCCTGGGTTTTGGGACAACAAATCACAGCAACCACAGCAAATCCAGCTTTTTGGGGCTGAAACCCTGTGGCAAGCAATAAATCACAGCAATCCCCACCTGTGTTTCCAGCGACTTGGGATACAAGATCCGCTGGGTTCAGGTCAAGTACTGGGGGTATCTCCGTCGCGGCCTAGGCTACGGAACCTGGGCGTGGTGGCTGCGTCGCTCGGCCGCAACCCACTTTTTTCGAATGGGCTTCGCATGCGAACCCTTTTTTTGTCTGGAAGTGGATAGGGGGTGTCTTTTTAAGAGGACTGTCTTCCAAAACTCTGTCAGCTTCCATGAATCGCCGGAACGAGGGCATGAGCTTCTCGACTTCTTGGGGTTGCTTTCGGAAAGTTATCCAAAAAAAGACGCCGAAACACTGGGAACTCGTCTAGAACTCGTCGGATTGAGATCGGACGCAACTCATGGCCTAAAATGGGGCCGAATGGGTTTCCCTACCCCAGCCAACAAATGGTACCCTGACACAAGACACGTGGAGGAGTCTCTTTCTTGGTCAACCACGGGTTTGCTACTCGAGTGTTTTTTTTCTCCCTTTGTTTTTTTCTTTTTCTTCTGACGTGTATACATTACCCCACCAAGAAAGTTTTGGTGACTCCAAAGTCAACCCATGTCCTCCAAAGGATGATGCTTCGACCCACCAGAAGCTTGGAAGCTTCCGTGGGTCTTGGTCACCTACCTGGCTTGCCCACTTCACCTCTCCAGCTATTGGGGGTTGTCTCAAAAGGTGTTTTGGTTGTTCCCCTGCAACAACCCCCAGGGTACCGAGCCTCAACAGCAACCAGGGTGCCAAAAACCAATAGCTGATGCTCCTCGCAGAAAATACCTCGCGCCTCAAGACAAATCCAAATCCTGTTTTGTTTGGGGGATCTTTCTTGGTCCCCTCACAGAAAATTCCGCACTTCAAGGCGATCCAAACAAATCCAAATCCAAGTCCATCCATCCCATCCATCCACCCGCCCACCCATCCGTCCGTCCGTCCGTCCTGCTTCTCGCGACCGAAGCGCCAGGCTGGCCGGCGCCAGCTTCGGGTCGTTTCTGGTCTACGTGGCGCCCCCGTTGATGGTGCTGGGCGCGCAGCACCGGGGCCTGGCCGAGAAGCCCAAGGCTCGGCCCCCGGGGCCCGAGCAAAGCTGAAGCCGGAGCCGAGACGACGACCACTTTTTCGGCAGGGGTTGATGGTTTAGGTAGGGCCTGACCTAACAATGGGGGGGCTGGGGGCGGTTCCTTTTTTAGCTGTTCTTTGAACCAAGCTAAACAGAGGGTACCTCGAAGAACACACACACACACCCACATAGTTGTGGAACAAGTGTAAAAGCGTGTCGCTCAACGTGTTTTCAGGGAAGGCAAAAGGACAACTGACCATTTTCGGGCTCCACATCCCAATTTCGACACATACCTACCGTGTTTTTGTTTTTTCCTTCTTAGGTTGCCACTTTCTGTACCAAATCCCCTTGAAAGTGACAAAGTAATCATAGGGACGAACCCCTTTGGTATCACAGAAGGGGTTGCGCAATTCCACAGGTTTCGATGCGGCGAATCGATGAATCGATGCGGCTGATTCGTGCCAGCGCCCCAAAGGGAGACACGGTTTATTGATGGTCCATCCACGGTTGCAAGTTTGGGGTGGCTTCAATTTGTCCTTTCGGGCCAAGTTTAGTTGAGCTCTATTTGGGTGGGCCGATGGAGGGAACATCGCACCAGTTGGGGGATGAACCACCAGTTGGGATGGATGAACCTGTACAAATCCTGGTTGACAAACCATCGACCTGGCGCCTGGTTCATCCAGAGTGGAATCCGCAGAGAAACTATGAATTTTCCAAAAGTACCAGGCAGGGACTTGCTGGTGCTCAGGGAATAACCCAGGGTTTTGGGAATGAACTTGGGAATTCCCAGCGAAACCGTAGAGGATGGTAAAAAGGGGGTCATTCCATTTCTCCTTCCCTGCGACCCAGTCATTGGGGAGGCAAAAGCTTCCACTCCCTCCAGTTCCGATTGTGGCTCTTGGCTGAGGCCGAAGGGAATCTTGACCCCCCAATTCTTTTTTGTGGGGGGCCACTCATTTCGTCCATGTTTTGGGGGCCATTTTTTTTGGGGGCCGAAGGGAACATGGCCATGGGTCAAAATCCAAATTGTACCCCCAGTGAACATCCCAATCCCGACTAAGATAGGTTCTAAAATGGGCGGTGCGCCGAAAACCCCCCAAAAATGGGATCCCAAAACGCTTTTGACCCACATCCATATGGATCACTCCCCCCTTTTTTTGGATTTTCTGTGGGAATATTGACATTTTTTTGGGGCCAATCCGCTCATTTCTTGGCCGAATGCGGCCCATGGGATCGCAGGGCGTGTTGGGCTTGTTGGCGCGGGCCACGCAGCTCTTCCTGGTGCCCGGAAAGCCCGGAGAGCGGTTTGAAACGGACGGGATCGAAACGGGTGGGGGTGTTTTTTTTGGTCTGGTTATAGCTTCCCCAGAAGTAGCTCCCCCCCCCCCCTTTTTTTTTTTCCTTTTTGGGGTCCCTTTTTTTCCACTAGCCAGGCAAAAAAGATGTTTTTTTGCAGGGGTCCTAATTCCAGCCTAGACAGGTAGGCTCTTTTTGGGTTTCCTTTTCGGGGTCCTTTTTGCGGTGGCGTTTTTTGGGTGGCGTGTTTGGTCCTTTGTCGTTCTTTTTGGTCTTGCGGCTTGAGTCTTGAGTCTTGGTTTGCTTGTTTGCTTGTTGGCTTGTTTGTTTTTTCTTTCTTTCTTTCGTTCTTTCTTTGGTTGTTTGGTCATTTGGTTGGTCATTTGGTTGTTTCGTTTTTTTTTTTTTTTTTTGTGTGTGTGTTTTGTTTGTTTGTTTGTTTGTTTGTTTGTTTGTTTGTTTGTTTGCTTGCTTGCTTGCTTGCTTGCTTGCTTGTTTGTTTGTTTGTTTGTTTGTTTGTTTGTTTGTTTGTTTTGTTTGTCTGTCTGTCTGTCTGTCTGTTTGCTCGTTTGTTTGTTTATTTGTTTGCTTGATTGCTTTTTTGCTTGTTTTGCTTGTTTTGCTTGTTTTGCTTGCTTGCTTGCTTGCTTGCTTGCTTGCTTGCTTGCTTGCTTGCTTGCTTGCTTGCTTGCTTGCTTGCTTGCTTGCTTGCTTGCTTGCTTGCTTGCTTGCTTGCTTGCTTGCTTGCTTGCTTGCTTGCTTGCTTGCTTGCTTGCTTGCTTGCTTGCTTGCTTGCTTGCTTGCTTGCTTGCTTGCTTGCTTGTTAGACTGCTTGTTTGCTTGACGTCTTCTGTGCTTGCTTGCTTCCTGCTCGTTTTTTTTTGGTGTGTGTGGGTCAAACAATTGGCGCATGTGTGTGCTCTTTCTTCGGTCTTTTTCATTGTTGGTCTTTTCCGCGATCTTTCAGGATACACGCTCGGAGTTTTGGTGGTATCAAGAGGTGATGCAATGCACATCAACCATGTTGAGGGTCCCCAATGTTTGAGTCACCCCTAAGATGTCTCAGGGGCTGTGCCCCAGGGATTGGCAGGAGCAGACTGTAAAGCGGGGCCCCGGTTGGATTGTTGGCTTGGGGACTTGAACCCCTGGTTCTTCCTGAGGGGAAATGGGCATCCCCCTCCCCCCCCCCCCAACCTCCAAATCACCAATCCAAATCAAGAAAATTGGAGAGAAGCTGACAGCAGGAGATTCTCACTCCCTGAGTTCCTGGACTATAAACATTCTTAAGTACTGGTATTTGGCAACACACTTTGGTGGCAAATCCAAACATCTGGACGTCTTTTGCACAATCCTCAGAAAGTGAGGATTCCCGCCTGGGGATTCCCGGAGAAAACATCGGGGGCAGCTGTTGAGTTTGAGCGTAATTTTGGGTCTCCAAATTATTCTACCAAAATTGTCGCAAAGCCAAGTGAGGATGAAGCCAGCTCACCCATGCTGAAGGATACCAATTTGTGAAGCTCGCGTTGACTTTGTTGTATTTTATTAGGTCCATTCCTCCTGCTGTTTGAAACATCTTTTCGATGTGGGCAATAGTGGACTGTCAGTAAAGGGGATGGCGTGGGGTACACGAGTGGGACATGGCTTTACGCACCAAACTAGCATGTCAGTTGAGGAAAGCCGGGACGTTCTTGCCATTGGCTCCTCTCAAAGATTATAAGTTCTGATGTGAGTTCTGACTTCCCGGGTCCACGGCTTTTGGGCTTTGAGGTCATGCAGATGTGTTCCAAAACGATTTGAGACCCGCGGAACTTGAGACCCCCAGCCCCACTTGCCATAAGGCCCTTGGGCTTGGGGCTGGGCAGCATCGGTGTGCACCAGTGCCTGAAGTGAGCGCCTGGGGCGTTCGGGCCGCGCCCCCGCGGGGCCTGGGGCGTCCGCAAGCCGCTTGCGCGTCCGCGGGGTTCGTTGAGATCGAAGCGGAGGGTCCTTGGAGCTTTCGGATCGGGTTTGATCGTCGCATCGAAGATTTCTCCGGGTTTATGTGGACCATGGGGAGGAGCCGGGTGACACATGACACCAATCTTTTTTTGGCTAGCATGCGGATCGGGTGGACGAATGTCACGTCAGCATTCGGAGCCAATGGCCAAGGTGAAGCCCCGTCAGGATGAGAAGAGGTCCCTCGAGAGGGATGTGGCGTTTTTGAGGGTACCTTTTCACGTTGGGCAAAGGGAAACCAACGGAACATGGCCCGTGTACCCCTAGTTGAGGACAACCCAACGTACCCTTTCCCCAACGGAAGTGAAGACGTTTCGTTGGTTTATCCAGACAGTCCAAGACCCTTGGACCCGATGCGTTCGGGGAGCGTGGCCACCCCGGGCCCCGTCCAGCGGTCAACCGCGGTCAACCGCGGCTCCGGCGGTTCCGGGAACGGCCTGCTGGGGTGCAGATGAGATCGAGCAACCCAAGTGTAGATTTATGGGCGATGGTCCCAAGTCAATCCTGAGCTCCGCGGTTCTTCAACTCGGATCCATAGTGCATCCATAGTGGATTCATTGGGGTGCTCCACCAACAAAAATTGGGGCGTAGGTGCTTGATTGTTTTTCCTGCCTGTTTTTGGCGTGTGGGGGGCGACAACTCCTGCGAACACTGACGCTTCGGAAGATCACTATTTGCGGGGCAGCCTTGCCTTCGCCATCCCTTGTGTTTTTTGTGGCAGCTATGTTGTTTTTCGTACGGACAGATGTCGCTTGCTTTTTGGGTATCAGCTATGCTAGGGTTGTTTCAGACACTCCAGATGGGCGGTTTGCCAAACAAATCTGGGCGAAAAAAAGAAAGAAATAAAGCACATCGCGTCGGAACCAGGACTTTTTGGAGGTCCCGACCATGAAAACCATGGGCCCCGTGAGTTTGATGTGGGGTGATTTCCGAAACGCCCAAGAAGATGTTTGTTTCTTGTTTGTTTTTGGGTGCCCTTTTCACCCTTGGTTTAGAGGAAAGTTAAAAAGCCATCTCATTTTTCATTCCTGTTTTGGAGTATGTGTCATAGAGGAAACCGACAGTTTGCCTGCAGAAGCGAGGGGATGGCCGGGTTCCTGTGGGTTTTGTCTGGGTGCTAGCTGGGCAAATGCAGGAATGCTGCAATGTCCATCATCAAGGATATGTTATGCGGAACAGAAAGATGGCGCTTCGGTCCGCTCGGCTACTTGGAAGATGGTGCTTTCACACGTTCGTCTTTGAGGTAATTGGCGAACGGTGGGAACTTCCAAAGAGTTCGCTTTGACGGTGCGATAGTTTGTGATGAGCTCAAGTCCGACCAGCGCGTCTAAGAACGTGAGCTGAGTTCAAGTTGAGATGGCGCGCCATGTTGACTATCATCATGAAGCATCATGAATGTTCTGCACGTACTGCTGCTTTTGTAGCGTTGCCATCAACATCAGCGTTTCGGAGGAGTTGGACAAATATTGATTTGAGGTGAGGGGGAATCAGGGCTTCTCTTGGTACATACGAGGTCTTGAAATTCATTGAACTCTGCCTGGCTCACGTGATTCACCTTGCTTTGTCTCTGTGGGCGCGGGGCACGCGGGCACATTAGTTTTTTTTTTCCCGGACAAATTGCGGCATGCTCCATGAAGGGTCCTTTCGGGGACCTTTTTTTTTTGGGGCCGGAACATCCTTCTGCACCGAAAACCCTTGGGTGGTGTGGAGTGATCTGAAGGTTTGGATTGGCGATTCGAACCCCAGGACACCAGCATCCGAGCCACCCTGAAAAGGGGAGCTCTGACTGGTCGACAAATCTGCAGGTGGATACCAGGTGAATCCAACTTTGATCCCATGCTGTGGTTGAAGCAGTTGGCCAGTACAATTCAATTCCTCAAAAGGAGGTCGTTTAAATGGCCGGCAGGCCAAAAAAACGCGTTAAAATGGTGGAATGAACCGGCGCCTGGTCGAATTCGGCCTTTCCTTTCAAGGGAAGGCCAGGAGTTCATTTCCACAATGATGAATACCTGGGCAGCAGGGCGTTTTCTTCAAGGCTCCATGGACCCCGGTCAACAGGAGACCCGGAGATGCTGAGTCGAGCTTTCGCGCACCGCGCACCGCTGGCAGCGTGTTGCTTTCAGCTCTTGGGCCTCGTCGCCGAGCATGGCGGAGGCATCGAAGCCGAAAACCGGACTCGGCGGCTCGGTGGCTCGTACTGTTGACCCCAGATGGGTGTGGGTCAAAAATAGGTCCCCAAAATGAACCCCTTGTAAATGGAAACATTAATCAACCCCTGTTCATTAATAGGGGTGTGTCCAACTGGGTTTAGCGCGGATTCACTTTTGGAGGGGAATACCCCCATATTAGTATAACTGATGCCGTTAGGTAAGGGAGCTAAATGATTTCGCCCATTTGATAGCGAGCTCACCGATTTGGGGGAACATACTCCGAGCCAGGATAAGAGTCATTTACTTGCAGATCCAATTAGCCCCTAGTATGATGACTGAATTTGGCTGTACCGTACACCCAACACTTCGTAAAGGGGCTGATAATACGAAGAGTTTACATCCCATAAATTGGGGACCACCCCAAAACCCCAAACGAATTGAAGGTCCCCACGACCTCTGCGTCGAGTCCACCAAAGCTCAACAGTTTCACTCTTTTTGGGAGTCTGGGACCAACCCGGTGAGTGAACGCACGCCCACCGCAGTTTCACCGGGGTCCGCCTGCTTCCTTGCTCATTCCTTGGAGGCGTTTTTGCCCCCTTGAAACAGGTGAGTCCAAAAGTAGGGGCCCCTGTAAACCAACCCCCAAGAGGGTATGCTAAAAAAGGACACAGACACACACACACACACAAATGAACTAGCAGGGATGCGGGCTTTGCTCACTCCAATTGGGGGGGGGTTGGGGTCTTGAGCAATGTGGCAGAACTAGCAAAACAAAAGGATTGCTCATTTCCCCATGGACCATGCACAGGTCTGAGGTAACATGACACCAGCCTTTCCCCTGGAAGTCCCGAACCTTAAGCTTTTCGAGGCTTCTTTTGGGTCACGGTGTCCCCATGTCACTCTCGATTCGTGCCCCGTTTTGAAGTCTGTTTGAAACGGAAGATGATCCAATCTTGCGACATCGGAGATCGATTTCGGATGTCGCCAGGTCTCATGGACCAAATGGGACTTCAGCAACCTGGATACAGCCGGCTCGGGCAAGGCGCCGGGTCTTTTTTGGAGAGAATCACAACCGATGGGCAAAGAACCAGCGATGTTTCCCATGAATGTCCTTGACTGGCTCCCTGATTCCAGGTAGGGAATATGAGTCTATCTTTTCTGAGGGTACCCTTTTGTGGATAGAGCCAAAAGGACAACCACCATTCTGTGGGTCCTCTCTCAAAAAGGCACACCCATGAAATCCGTTGCATCCAGCGCGCAGGTTGAAGGAGTTCAGGATCCCATCGGCTACAAGCTGACCATGGACCGCTTTCCGTGAAGTTTTTTGACGTGGTAGTCTATTTAGTCTGCAGATTCAGATATAACCCCAGAAGCCGTCATTTCTCGAGGGAGCTCCTTTTTTGGGACTTTGTTTTGGGGTTCCATGTAAATTTGCAGGGGAGTAGTTTGGGGAGGATATGGGGGTGCAGACCCATCTAGGCAGCCCACTCAATTTGATCATGTCCCCCAAGAGGAAAACATGATGCAAGGTTCGGCATGGTCAGTTTGGGAAGACTTTGCGGATTTTTTCAAACAGACAGCATATTGTGACCGTTGCCCAGAAATTGCAAGGGCCCAAACTACACACACAATGGCAAAACAGTTCGTTGTTCTTCACCTGTAAAGTAAAGTAACACGCAGCAAGATCATGGTCCACGTACAACATTGGCTGGCGGTTGCTCTTCCATTGCACGGCGTTTCATTTCAAGGACGACAGCAGCGCTGCTGGAAAGAACAAGTCCAAGACGGCGAATCAGGCTGGATGTTGCTGAACAACCTTCTGGTGCCAGGGGGACTTCCCAACCATTCTGAACCCATATTCACATGTTCAAGTCAAACTTAAATGGGAAGACTTAGAACTTACTTAGAACCCAAGATCCCAACAAAGGTCGGTCTATGTTTTCATCACCCCATCACTGCGGCATGTTTCGATGCACGCATTTGGTCAAAGGTTGTATTTTGGGAATCCTTTGACACCGCAGATTTGCAAAGCCACAGACCATTTTAGGGCTGACACGCCAACCATTTTGAGACCCCTTGTGATGCCCTTCAGAAAACGGTAGCCACGCGGCCACGGCTATATTTCATAGTGTCCAGGTCGGGCTCCTGAATGATGAACCCAAGAAGGCACCTTCCGTGGCGCTGTCTTCTTTGGACGGCTTTTTTTGGGAGACCAACACCTCCCTTAGAGTTCCCTCCAAAGAGTAGACTATCACCACCTCCCCTCCCCCCCGCCGGCTCCATCTTGGTCCCGAGCTCGGTGAGGAGCTCTTGGAGAAGAAGGCTTGGGAGGTGGCGGTGGCGCCTATTCAGTCGGCCCGGGGGTCCAGGTTTTTCCGATTTATTGCGGATTTTTTCTCGGTGAAACGGCCTCGGGAACCCCGGACCTAAGTAGAAACCCATTTGGTAGGTTTCTGGTACTGACCCGAATCGTTTTTTGTTTCTTCCTCCTTTTTTTTCTTTCCGGTTTTTGTTTGGGGGCTTTTTGCTGAAACTGCTGGGGCACGGGGCGGGGGAAAGCCCCTCCAAAATTTCTCGATGAACCGCTTTTTTGTGGGGACACCAGATCAAAGCCAACCAGGGTTCATGGATCCGGGGTCAACATTGCGCTTGGAAGGGGAAATCAAAAGGCTGCTACCCAAATCTTGGTGGGTTTCCCTTTGTTTTGCCGCATACCCATGTGGTTCCTCACAGGAGGCGATTCTGGGGCCACTCAAAACCGGCACATAATATCAGCTGATCTAGAGGATCCAAATCCAAAAAAAAAGGCAAACAAAAATCCAAAAAAACAAACGTGGTTTTCGGATGTATCCTGCTAGCGGAACCTGACACCCATGGAACGAATGACTATGCTCCTGCGGCCTTTCCCAGAGCTCCGTCGATCGCCAGCCAGCCTCCGGGGGAAATCCCCACCCAAGTCTTTGGGTGTGTCACAATTTGAGGGTACCCTTTTTTTAAAGGGAAACCAAAAGGAAAACCACTTTTTTGGGGGTCCCATGTTTCAATGCGCCCTTGGGGCAGAAACTTGGTGGGGGGGTCCTTTGCTTTCCCTTTGAAACCCGATCTTCTTTGTGTGCGTTGCGAGCAATTGCCAGAGTCTGACCGAAATTGGGCGGAGTGAGTCTTTTGGTTTCCCTTGCAGATTTGGGTTCAGCGGGTTTCAGGTTGGTCCCATTCTCGATGAGAGTTCCTTTTGGTTTCGTCTTGGTTTCTGAAAATATGTGACCACAAAATCAAAGATATTTGCCATTGCAATGGTATTCTCTCGGTTTTCCTTTGAACAGCATCCAAACCATAACAAGGGCGGTTCAGTTTCTACGAGCAAACCGAAACCCGATCTTCGCAAAGGTGGATCTGTACCATGGGTTTTGGGTGGACTCGTTTTGGCCGGGACTTGGGCAGGAAAGCTTGAAGACAGCTCAGTCTATCACATCGCTCATAGCGAGCTCATCCTAACTGGGGTAAAACAAACAGCGACTCTCGGCACTTGGAGATCCCCGAGTCATTTGTACTGATCGGTGCATTGATTTCACATCAATCCAGGGCACTAGGCAGCCCTTGGGGCTAGTGACCATCGCGGCTTTATAGATTACCAGTTCCCAGCTGGATTTTCCCTTTTAATGGGTTCCCCTTGGTTACCTAGTGCTGGTTTCCTCTCAGCATTTGTGAGCCGTTTACCTCTGGGTTGTACATGGCTTCCGGCTTGTTTGGCCTGCCTTTGAGCCTCCTGACTTGTCCCATGGCCGTGAGTCTTGGGGCTTCTCGCTTAAGCGGCCCTATCAGGTCCCCTCTTGGTGGCTTGGTTTGGTAGAAGGGCTTCGAATCCGGATCCAATCCAAACCGATCCAATCCGGAAAGCTGCTTCGACGACAGATTCGTCGAAAGCCGGCCGAGGTAGGCATGAACCTCTTCATGCTGTGGATGAGCGGGTCGCCAGCTTATGGGATCGAAGAGATATTTTTTCCTCCTCCAAATGCGCATGGGTGGCTCGTCCTCCTTTTTGGGCGGACCCCCCCAAAATGGGTGCGGTTTCCCCTCAAGACCACCAAAAAAGGGGTACCAACGCCAAACACGGGCACATGGAAGTCGTAAAAGCCCACCTTTGACCCCGAAGTAAGGCTTTCTTGCGGCCTTAAGCATGTGTTTCTCAGCGTGGGGACTGAAGGAAAATGGGTTCGCTGGGGGTGCTTTTGTGTTTCGTGTCCCTAAAGCGAGACAGATTTGGACACCATGGCAAGGAAAAGGGGAGGTTGGGGGAGGGGGTTGCATCCTATTACGTCTACTCCAAGTTTGGGTCTATCTTAGGCTTCCGCTGCGGTGTTTGGTTTGTTTCACTCAAGAAGGGGTATGAGGCATCGAAGCAGACAGAGTGCCGTAAGAATCGGGAATGTGTCAAAACCAGGGACCGCATCCCATGATTTGGCTGTGGCTACATGGCGTTCTCTCCAAATGCCCTGAGATGAGTGGTTGTCTTTTGGTGTCCCTTTATATAAACCAAACCCCCAAAGAGCACCTTTAATAACGACACACCCGCACACACACCCACAACAGCCATATGAGTTTCGCGGGCAGCTTGACATCAAACGTGTGCTCGACAGTTCTATTGATCCCTCATTATTTTTCACCCATCGTTCTTTCGAACAATCATACAAAAGACTTCGAGTTTTTGTTGGGGCGTTGTTTGGGGGGAAATGAAGGGTCCAGAAAATAATGCGGGAAGTACAAGGATAGGCCAAGCCGAGAACGAAGTCCCGATTATTTGACGGCAGATCTCGATTTTTGTGAAACGATCCCTGCGAAGGATTCGAGAAGCCCATTTCCTGAGGCCAATTCGGGGTGATTCCCTTGACAGTATCAATGCGCTCTTCTTCCTTGTTTGTGCGGGGTTCGTGTCAACCTTGATGGAGGACTCAGAAATCCTCCAAATGGTTGTCAAATGGACTCTCTCGTTTTCGGAGAGGCGCCCAATGAGAGAAGTACCCGGTGCATTCAAGCGCCGAACAGGGTGCCACTCGCCATTCCACCAATCCGATGTTTCGTTTCCTCGAACAGCGAGTCGCCCTTTCAGGCTGAGCAATGTTTTCGAAGACCAGGTTCAGCCAAGCACTGCAGGCCCCAGCCTTCGAGTTAGTGTTGCTGGGTGATGATTTTCTTTTGGACGACTGTCGGTGAGGTTCTGTCAAACCAGCAATCCACGGTCCATTTGGGTACGTGGAGGGACGAGCTCGAAATTTCCACCACAAACAGCGGGGACGAGCCCTGATTTTCCCCATGCCCACAAGGGGACGAGCTCCAAATTTCCCACCAACCACGGAACGCTTGTCCCAGTGACTCGCTCATTTTCCGGCATGTCCTTTTATAGAGGCATCTTTGGGCGTTTTTTTAAAGTGGACACTCAAACATGTTTTCGATTTGCCCTGTGGTTTCCTGAAAAAAAAACAACCAAAAAGGGTACCAACTCCAAAGAACATGACCAACTCCAAGGAACAAAGCCCCCTCTCCCCCCATTTTGACCCTGGCCGTTTTCTTTTTTTCTGCTTGGATCCGCTCCCATGTCGCTTGAGGTCCTCCCCGGGGATCTTCACCGTGATGATCCTGGGGCCCCTTGGATGCGCTCATGGACCTCTTGATAAGCCTAGCCAAGCTTCCACAGCCCCCCAAGTGGAGGTGATTTGGGTCAGGTTGGGTGGTTGGAACAAATGAAAAAACCATCCATCTAAGCTTGTTAAACAATTCCTTCCGGGGCTGCGATACTTAGAGACACTCAGCTGGTTCTTGTCGAATGGGGTGTCCCAGCCCGGAACCCCTTCGCAAAGCCGGGCTTGGACGCTCAGGTACTGCTTGACCTCGATCGTGGGGCAGTTCGCCAAAGCCAACGTCGCTTTCCAGAACTTCAAGACCATCGACACCACCCTGCAGGCCTTCAGCCTGATTTGAGTACGAGAACGGGGCGGATGGAGTGGGCTTCTTTTTGCTCCAGGATTTTTTCGGTGGGTCTCCCTTTCTTTTTTTTGGGGGGGTCCCCGGGAACCCCCCTCACCTTTTCTCGATTGTTTTGGGGACCCCCCTCAATTTGTTGTTTAAACGGAGACCGAAGCGACCTCGTTGCCATTTTTTCGGGCCGGATTTGAGTTTGCAAGGAGTCGGACCAATCG